AAAAATCCACATCACTTTTTCTTTCTTCAGTACATATCATTTTGTTTCTGGCGGGGTCAGGGAGAGGGCGTCTCATGTAAATAACACCCAGGACCTTTTCCCCTAAATCATCACGTAAATGGTTCTTGCAACTGATCATGTTATCGTGATTCTGTATTCCAAGTATCAAACCCAACACAGCTGATACCCTCTAATGACAGAATGAGAGGGGGCGGGGAGAGGGGGGAGGAGGAGGAGGAGGAAGAGAATGAGGAGGAGGAGGAAGAGAAGAAGAAGAATGCAAAGGACTAGGAGGAGGGGGAAGGAGCCCTAGTGGCACAGTGGTTAAGTGCTCAGCTGCTAATCGAAAGGTCAGAGGTTCTAACCCAACAGCCGCTCTGCAGGACAAAGATGTGGCAGTCTGCTTCTGTAAAGATTACAGCCTTGGAAACCCATGTGGGGCAGTTCTACTCTGTCACATGGGGTCACTTTGAGTTGGAATGGACTCCACAGGCACCCAACAACAAAGGAGGAGGAAAGGGAGGGGGAGGGGAAGACAAGACAAAGTGTGGGCCGTGACAAGGTATATGGGAAATCAACATCAACGTGCACTCGAATTTTGGCTACTCTCTGAGGTCTTCTCATTGCTCGTCCGAAGGTAAGAGCAGTATTGTTCAGGGGAAGAAAGGGGTTGGATAAATGAAACAGTAAGAAAACTAGCTTAGAGTTCCACAAAAAACAAAAACAAAAAACCCATAACCAGTTGCCACAGGTCAACTCTGATTCATGGCAAGCCCCTGCGTGTCAGAGGAGAACTGCGCTCCGTAGGGTTTTCTTTGTTCATTTTATTTTGTTGTTGTTGTTGCTGAGAATATATACAGCAGAACATACACCAATTCAACAGTTTCTACACGTACAATTCAGCCACATGGATTACATCCTTCAAGCTATGCAACCATTCTCACCCTCCTTTTCTGAGCTGATCCTCCCCCATTAATGTAAACTCACTGCCTTCAAGATTCTTACCTCATTTTTTGAGTTGCTGTTGTCAGTTTGATCTCATATAGATAGCTCTTAAAAGAGTATAATGCTCAAGGCAGACATTCTTTACTAGTTAATCTAAACCATCGTTTGGTTTTAACAAGACTTCAATTAACAAATTTTCAATGGCTGATTTTTTGGAACTAGACTGCCACGCCTTTCTTCCATGGTGCCTCTGGATGGATTCGAACCTCCAGCCTTTGGATCAGCAGCCAACCACTTACAACAAATAAAAACCAAAAGCCAAACTTATTGTCGTTGAGTCAATTCCGACTCATAGTGACCCTAAAGGACAGAGTCGAACTGCCCCATAGGGTTTCCAAGGAGCGGCTGGTGGATTCAAACTGATGACCTTTTGGTTAGCGGCCAAGTTCTGAATCGCTGCACCACCAGAGCTCACAAATAAAAGGCACTTTAAATTTCCCTCAGATCAGTTCTGTTCTCAGCACCCAAGAAACAATACCTTTTCTTAAGCCATACAGTTTGTGTCTGTGGCCTGGCACCTCTTCCTTTCCCCATTTCCTTCTTTCACATGAGTCATCAGCACTACGACCACCACTGCCACACCCACTGAGTCCCCCAGCTGCCCTCGCCACGGCCACCCCCACTGCAACCACCCTGATTATCCGCCAATAACCACCCCACCTCGCCCACGACTCCAGCTACAACTACCACCACCTTATCTTCACTGCATTAAGAATTTTTTCCCCAAAATGTGTTCTTTTTCCTCAGTCTTCGGTCACTGGTCACACAGTTATCTGACCCCTTCTGCCCTCTCCATTCTGTCCCCAGAATACTGCTGCATCCCCCTTATCCTGTGTTCACCAGTCAACAGCTACCAAACACATTAACATCAACACATTAGCTTTTTATCTCATCAGAAGATTAATTACAAAAATCTCCTAAGTAGGAAACAGCCATCCATTACAAGCACACGTAACACTTTGAGAGCTGATCTTTTACTGAGGAAAAAAACCCCTCAAGTTTAAATAGTCTTTGAGAACAAGAACATCCACCACACAGGTGGTGATTTATAGAATGAAGTCTACTTTATTCAAGTGTAAAGGATCTGGAAATACATACTATCATCACTAAATTGCAGGAACTCAGTCATAAATTTGGTCTAAAATACGGTCTGGAATTTTTTCCCCGATTCTATCCCTAGAAAGCTCAGACTACCCCTCTCGCCACAGAACCTACAGAAACTACTGTTCCTCTCATCACGCCACCCGTTTCCAATCACAGCTACACCACAAACTCTCCTTTCTGTTCTCTGTCACCTATGAGCAGAAGCCAATAAAAAAGCCTCTCTTCCTTAGAGTCTGTCCTGCATTGAGTCTCAACAAGGCAGGCCAGCCTGATGGCCGCTCAGGCTGTGAACTGTGCAAGTGTGCCACATTTATGAAGGCACCAAACACATCATTAGCATCACTATTAGTTTTTTTTAATTGTTTGTATTTTTCTTATAACTTTGATGATTTAAAGATGGATAATACTCTGTCCTATAGGGTCGCTATGCGTTGGAATCGACTCAATGGCAACGGGTTTGGTTTTTGTTTTTTTTAATTGGATTATTTAATGAGCCCTGCTATGAGTCAGGATCAACTCAACGGCAATGGGTTTGGTTTTTTTGGGGTTTGGATGATGCAGTGGTTGGCGGTTCAAACCCACCAGCTGTTCCACAGAAGAAAAATGTGGCAGTCTGCTTCCGTATAGATTACGGTCTTGGAAACCCTATGGGGGCAGTTCTACTCTGTCCTATAGGGTTGTGATGAGTCAGAATCAACTCCATGGCAATGGGATATTTTTAATTTGATTATTTACGTTACCATTTTCTGGCATATGGCAATAAAGTATCCTGCTCTCAACATCAGTATAGTTCAACAATTTTCCATCAGATGAAGTGAAATGTCTTAAGGGATGGCTTTGTCTAATTTGCACAAAGTGCCATATGGGCTAGCAGCAGCCCTCAGAAAAGCTTCTCCCAAATGTTTTAAACTTTCTGCGGTCTTGGCTGTTGACTAAAGCTTCCGCTCTTAGTTTAACAGACTCTGTCTGCAGTGGGTTAACTTTTTTTTTCTCCCCTTAATCTGGTCTTTTTCTCTTAATAAACCTTTAGTCATTAGGCATTGCTGCATCCCTTGTCCTATTTCTGACAACTGATGTTACTAAACCCAAGTTAACAAGGGTGAGATAACCTTCTGTCACGGTAAAAGATTAATTACCAGTAGAAAAGAGATGTCTATTGCAGACCCACTCCACAAATTAAAAATCGTTAACAAAACATGCTGCCTGACCTAGAGTTTCAATGTCTGAATATATTCTTCAAACTAAATTCTACAAAACCAAAATTAAATTAAGCTTTCATATAAAAATTCCTTTGCATTGACTTGTGTCATTAACAATATCATTTACAGAAAACTACCAGCAGCTATTTCTTTTGAGTAGTAGGAGCGATGTTGTTGCGTGCCGTCAAATCAATTCTGACTCATAGTGACCCCAACTGACAGAGTACAACTGCCCCAGTGTTTTCTTGGCTGTAATCCTTATGCAAGCAGACCACCGGGTCTTTCTTCCATGGAGCCACTGGGTGGGTCTGTACCACCAACCTTTCTGTTAGCAGCTGAGCACTTAATGTTTGCACCACCAGGGCTCCTTTACACAACATTTAAGAGGCAATTATCAACCCAAGTCAAAATGGAAAAAGAAATGAAGTGGGAGTCCACATCAATTCACCCAGAGCCTCAGAAGATAAATTTGACTGCCGTTGGTAACGATTTGCCCTAGAAGACAATCCAGCTATGGAAACCTTAAAAAAAAAAAAAAAAAAAAAAAGTTAAAGGAAAATTTAGAAGAAAGGAGAAACACTAGGAAAAGTATAAACACTAATTTCAATACTTCTTCTTGTTGAAAATAAAGTTACTTCAGAAGTCCTTGGGTCTACGCAATCATTTGCACTACAGATAAACTCTTCATAATGGGAGTTGTTTCATAAACTCATTATTTTCCATTGGCTGTGTCTATAATTTTAGAGACGCTTAATATTATTTTCAGATTAGTCCTCAGTGGATGACGTGACTTCAATTTTCTTTCTATCTTAAACCCTCAAGTACTTAATGATCTGAAAACTGATTCTTAAATACACCATATAAATGAAGTATCCTAGGGACTTAAGACTTGGCTTTTGTCAGGGGACAAATACTTCTCATACATGAATAATCATGTCTATTTTATAGATCTTAATTTCCTTCAAGTGCACCAAATTTATATGCTGTTATGCTTCATATTTTCTTCTCATTCAGAAGAAATAAGAAACCAAAGGAATTATGAATCCAACAATACTAACAATGTTGCTATTAATCAAACACTTAAGAACTCTATACTTTAAAAAGGAGCGGGAGGGGAACCCTGGTAGCAGAGTGGTTAAGTGCTCAGGGGTTCAAACCCATCTGCCACTCCCTGGGAGGAAGACATGGCAGTCTGATTCCACAAAGATTATAGCCTTGGAAACTCTATGGGGCAGTTCTACTCTGTCCTGTAAGGTCACTATGAGTCGGAATCAACTTGATGGCACTGGGTTTAACCTCTAATCTTCCTGCTGTAATCTTTTTTTTTTGCAGTTTGGCTAAATTGCCCTTTATTAACAGAAATGTGTCGCTTTTGATAACTTCCACTGCAGAGGACCCAAACCAAGGGAAACACACACAACAGAGCTGAACAGCAACTGCTCAGTCCACGCAGTTCAACCCTGGCCTCCTGTTCCCAAGGCTGCCTTCTCAAGACAGGCTGTATCGCCAGTACTAACAGTCACCTAACGCTCATCAGAGGGAGGCTAAAGAACAGCCCAGGCGGCAGCATTAGGTAAAAATGAAAAAGATTTTGTCTTGTTAAGAGTGTTAATAGTTGTCAACATCTGACATCATGATTGCACATGCATTCAGTTTAAAACGGAAAACAAGCAAGTTTACAAATCACCGCTGGGTACTTAAAAATAAACTCTAGGTTCTTTTTGCCAGCATGGGCCTAAACACTGTGGCCTTCCACTATTTCAGCAACTTCACGTACATCACACTCTTCTGAGGAAGTCCAAATATTTCAGAACTCCAGGAGTGGCCAGAATGGTTTTGGCTTCTTCGGCATCCTGCAAAGGGCTCTCTCCATATTCCTCCTTCAGCCACTGCCGATACTGGTGGACTTCATGCTCCTCAAACTCCTGGAGCTGCCTCTGGAAGCCCAGGTTGGGGTTGGCACAAGACCTGCCTGCACGCACAGTGTGCAGGACGTCTTCCCAGCCAAAGTCAGTGATGGTCATGATGTACGCCGTCACCAGGGCCACACTCCTAGAGACGCCGGCCAGGCAGTGCACAAGACAGCCCTCTCCCTTCAGCTGGCACTTGTGGATAAATTTGATGCTTTCTCTGAAATGTCTCGTCAGGTTTTGAGACGGTGAATCTGCTGCTGGGGTGCACAGGTATTTAACCCCCTCCAGCACAGGCCTGGCACTATCATGGACTGACAGAATATATGTCACCTTATTCTTACTCAATTGTTCTGCATCTCTGGCATCTTTGAAGTTGCCGATGTACAGGCCGGGCAGGATCTTATTCATTCCATTCCCCATGGTGTGCCTGGATGCGCAGCGTGCTGAATGCCAGTGACAGCGGGCGGGGACTGGCTGCTCCCAGTGTCAACAACAACAACCACACCTCCCGGGCGGCCAGCAGCGGGCCAGGGTGCTCCCTGATGTAATCTTTATCGGAACAATTCACCAGGTCTTTCTCCCACGGAGCTGCTGCTGGGTTCGAACCGCCAACCTTTTTGTTACCAGCCAAGTGCTTAACCACTGTGCAACCAGGGCGCCTTGATTAAAGGTTAGATGTTAGAAAAGACACAGATTTTCCACCCAAATGCTCCTGGGATGGATATTACAGAATGCCTGCCATTATGAGTTGGAACCATACAAAATTGAGAACATCCAACCATTTTTTTACCTACAAAAGTGGCCTACTGCCTATGGTTCTTCCTAATTTTTTCCAAACAAGAAAACAGAGCGGGCAGGACTGGAAAACCTAGTGACTGTGAAACAAGCACAGCCTCCAAACTACCTCCTGCAGTCCTGAAACACGCTACAACATGGATGAGCCTTGAAAATGCCGTGCTGAGTGAAGTCAGTCAGTCACAAAGAACGAATACTGTCCAATCCCACTTATATGACGCAGGCCAATATACAGAGACCAAAGGTTATTCGTGGTTGCCCGGGGGGCGGGGAGGCATTGCATAGGGAACACTGAGTTTCTGTTAATGGCGGTAGAATAAGCAGGAGAAGGATAACAAGGATGGTTATAAAACATGACGAACATAATCAATGTCACTGAATTGTACATGTAAAAATTGATAAACTGGCAATTTTTTTATATACACTGTTACCACAATTAAAAAAAAAAAAAAAACCTCTTGCTTGGCAAACGTCATTTCCCTGAGGAGAATCAGTGGTTTGTGTATTATTAACTGGTCCTATTCCAAACCAACATCTCATCATGTTCTTGTTGTTAGGTGCTGTCGAGTTGGTTCTGACTCATAGCGACCCTATCGGACAGAGAAGAACTACCCCAGAGGGTTTCCAAGGAGTGGCTGGTGGATTTGAACTGCCAACCTTTTGGTTAGCAGCCAAGCTCCCAACCACTACGCCACCAGGTCTCCAACATCTCATCACAGCACCTGAAAAATGTGTGAACTGCCTCCAGCATTTGGGGGGCTTCAGTGTATCTTTTCAACTTGTTCTTCCTATCCAGTCTCTATGTAAGGAGCCCAGGTGGCACAATGGCTGCTAACCGAAAGACTGGCGGTCTGAACCCATCAGCAGCTTTGTGGAAGAAAGACCTGGCAATCTGCTCCTGTAAACATCACAGCTAAGAAAATCCTATGGCACAGTTCTACTGTGTCATATAAGGTTGCTATGAGTCAGAATCTACTTGACGGCACCTAACAACAACAAAAACAACCTTCTCAGCTCCCTCTCAGCTTCCTCCTTGCAACCTAAGAATCTTTTCCAAGAGTGTAAGTGTGGCAGAAAGAAAAGCTCTGCCAGGTATCGGAAGGCAAAAGTGGGAAGAAGAGTCAGAATGCTGGCCTCTAAGAAGGGAAAGCGTGATAGTGTACATGGGGGACAAGACATGGGGATGACGGATGAAGGAACAGATGCAAAAGGAAGAAAGCAGAAGGGCTGCCTCACTAACCCAGTACTTACATGGCGGGAGAGCATCAGGCCACGATGAAGAAACTAAGAGTGGGTTCGAGCCCAAATCCAAATGGAATGAAAGGAACACTGAATTCTGTCTAAACATACATTCCTATTACTCCTATTGTTGATGTCAGATGGATCCTGGCTGAAAGCAGAGAATACCAGAAAGATGTTTACCTGTGTTTTATTGACTATGCAAAGGCATTTGTCTGTGTGGATCATAACAAATTATGGATAACACTAAGAAGAATGAGAATTCCAGAACACTTAATTGTGTTCATGCAGAACCCGTACATACACCAAGAGGCAGTCGAATGAACAAGTCTGTCTTGGAGGAAGTACAGCTAGAGTGTTCCTTGTAAGCGAGGATGGCGAGATTTCACCTCACATACTTTCAACATATTATCAGAAGGGACCAATCCCTGTAGAAAGACATCATGCTTGGTAAAGTACGGGGCCAACTAAAAGAGGGAAGACTCTCAATGAGATGGACTCACACAGTGGCTGCAACAATGGGCTCAAACATAGCAACGACTGTGAAGATGGTGCAGGACCAGGCAGGGTTTCATTCTGTTGTGCACAAAGTCACTGTAAGTCGGAACCAACTCAATGGCACCTAACAACAATGATCACCTTCTCATATGCTTGTTGGCCATCTGCGTATCTTCTTGGGAGAAATGTATATTCAAATCCTATATTTATTTTTTAATTGGGTTGTCTTTTTGTTGTTTGGTGCATACTTGTTTATAATTATTATGTCTTCTTGATTGACCCTTTTATCAGTTTTAAATGTCTTTCTTAGCCTCTAGTAACAATTTTTGTCTTAGAGTCTATTTTGCCTAATAACTAATATAACCACTCCATGTCTTTTCTTTGCTGTTTTCATGCTGTATCTTTTTCCATCTATTTACTTTCAAACTCTTTGCGTCTGCTGTTTTCTTAGTGGTTGACCTGGAGACTATAATTAACTTAAACTTTAAAATCTCAACTTAAAACAACCTAGGTGTTATGGATTGAATTGTGTCCCCCCAAAATGTGTGTCAACTGGCTAGGCCATGATTCCCAGTATTGTGTGACTGTCCACCATTTTGTCACCTGATGTGATTTTCCTATGTGTTGTAAATCCTACCTCTATGATGTTTATGAGGCAGGATTAGAGGCAGTTATGTTAATGAGGCAGGATTCAATCTATAAGATTAGACTGTGTCTTCAATCTCTTTTGAGATATAAAAGAGAGAAGTGAGCAGACAGACATGGGGGCCTCATTATCACCAAGCAAGAAGAGTCAGGAGCACGCATCCTTTGGACCCGAAGTCCCTGTGCTGAGAAGCTCCTAGATCAGGGGAAGATTGATGACAAGGACCTTTCCTCAAAGCTGACAGAGACAGAAAGCCTTCCCCTGGAGCTAGCACCCTGAATTTGGATTTTTAGCCTACTACACTGTGAGAAAATAAATGTTTGCTAAACTCATCCACTTGTGTTATTTCTATTATAGCAGCACTAGATAACTAAGACACTAGGTGAACTTGATACCAACTTAATTTCCTTTACAAAACTCTGCTCCAACATAGCTCTGTTTCCTCCCCCTGGCTTTATGCTATTAATGTTATACAATTATATCCTTACACATTATGAGCCCATCAACAACAGTTTTATAATTATTGCTTTATACAATTGTTTTTTAAATCAGATAGGAAAAGAAAAGAGTTACAAACAAAAATACAGCTATACTGTCTTCTATAATCTATGTGGTTACCTTTACTGGTGGCCTTTATTTCTTGTGGATTCAAGTTACTATCTCGTGTCCTTTCATTTCAGGCTGAAAGACTCCCTTTGGTATTTCTTGTAGGGCAGGTCTGCTAGCAACAAATTTTCTCGGTGTTTGTTTTTCTGAGAATATCTTAATTTTTCCTTCTTTTTTATATAGTTCTGTTGGATACAGAATTCTTTATTGACAGTCTTTATTTCAGCACTTTGAATATGTCATCTCACTACCTTGGGCCTCCATGATTTCTAATGAGAAGTCAGCTGTTAATCTAGTTGAGGATCCCTTGTACATAATTAAGGAACCCTGCTGGTGCAGTGGTTAAGCACATGGCTACTAACTGAAAAGTCATTAGTTCAAACCCAACAGCCACTCTGTGGCAGAAAGATGTGGTAGTCTGCTTCCATAAAGGTTACAGCCTTGGAAACCCTACAGAGCAGTTCTACCCTGTCCTGTAGGGTCACTATGAGTCGGAATTGACTCGACAGCAACAGGTTTGTACATCATTACTCACATCTCTACTGCTGCTTTCAAGATTCTGTCTTTATTTTGGCTTTTGACACTATGACCATTACACATCTGAGTGTGGACCTCTTAACATTTATTCCACTTGCAGTGGATTGAGCTTCTTCAGATGTGCAGATTAATGTTTTAAATCAAATTTGGGAGGTTTTGGGCCATTAAAGACCTACTTGTGCAATGGTTGAAGCACTCAGCTGCTAACCGAAAGGTCAGCAGTTCAAACCCACCAGCTGCTCCATGGGACAAAGATGTGACAGACTGCTTCCATAAAGATGTATAGCCTTGGAAACCCTATGGGACAGTTCTACTTTGTCCTGTGGAGTCGCTATCAGTTGGATTCCACTCAGTGGCAATGGGTTTGGTTTGGTTTGGCCATTATTTTTTCAGATTGTCCTTCTGTCCTTTCCTCTCTCTCTCTTGTCCTTCCGGAATTTCCATTATGCATATGTTGGTATACTTGATAGTGTCCTACAGGTCTCTGGGGCTCTGCGTATTTTTCTTCATTCATTTTGCTTTCTGTTCTTCAGACTGTATAATCTCAATTGACCTATCTTCAAGCTCACTCATTCTTTCTTCTGCCAGTTGAAATCAGATTTTGAGCCCTCCCAGTGAATTACTTTTCATTTCAGTTATTGTACTTTTCAACTCCAGAATTTCCATTTGGTTCTTTTTTATAATTCAATCTCTTTATTGATATTCTCTACTTGGTAAGTCCAAATTCTCATACTTGCCTTTAGTTCTTTAGACATGGTTTTCTTCAGTTATTTGAATATATTTATAGTGATTAAAGTCTTTCCCTAATAAGTCCAACATCTGGGCTTCCTCAGGGACACTTTCCATTGCTTTCTTCCCTGTTTGGGCCATACTTTCCTGGTGTGTGTGTGTGTGTGTGTGTGTGTGTGTGTGTGTTTGTGTGGAAATTTTTTGTTGAAGACTGCATTTTAAATAGAATAATGTGACAGCTCTGGAAATCAGATTTCACCCCACCCCCAGGTTTATTGTTGTTGCTGTTGTTTTTCCCATTGCTATTTGTTTGTTGAGTGGCTTTCCTGGACTAATTCTTTATCTTATGTAGCCACTATAGTCTCTGCTT